GATGGATATTTTTGTTTTCAATTGATTCTACTTAACAAAACTGAATATTTAATATTATTTTTTGATTCTGCACTATGGACAGTCATAGAAAAGCTTTAGGCATTTCTGACATTCGGATTATGGATTTATAATAACACACGATAATAGTTCTAGATTACAAATTATGAGAATGCTATTGGGTTAGGCAAAAAGTCTGTTCACTTTATTATTGATATTGGGTTGGGAAAAAAGTTTGTTTGCTTTATTAAGTAGAAAATTTGCTTTATAACTGAACAGCAAACTTTTTGACCAACCCCAATATAACTTTTTTTTTCTTCAGATAAGGTGAATTAATATCAAAATTAAACTAAACATCCCACTTCATATAATCAATCAATTTTTATTAAATGATTAAGTATTGACTTTTTGGTAAATGAGCAATTGTATTTCAGTATTTTTTTTTTTTTTTGCTTACATGGTATCTCTTGTGCAAACTGCTATTCTTACTACTTCTATTACTACTTCTATTACTATTATAAAAGGTATTACAGAGTTGTGAGAGGATTGGGAAGTACTTGAAATAATGTATTAATTGCAATATGTAAACATCTTTGATGTTATAGGATAGGTTGTAAAATTTTTCAGTTAGAGAATTTGCACTGCTAAACCAACTGTTAGTGTATTTTGTACCACTGCCCATTTTAAACCTTGAAAAATACAAGATGCATTTTTTTAAAATCTCATGATTAGTCATCTCCACTAATTTAAAGACATTTTGTTTTTTTCTTCATGCAATCAAACGGAATTGTTTCTATTTTTAATTCACAGGAGAACATTTTACTTGATGAGAATCACAATGTCAAAATTATTGATTTTGGTTTGTGTGCAAAGCCAAAGGTAAGAGTGACTATTATTTGTTTTTATTGCTTTATGAAGGAAACTTAGGAGAGTTCAAAGAGAATACTCAATGAGTGACTGAAATTTTTCAGTGCTTGAAGAATGCTTAGGAAGGTCTACTGTGTAGTTTTTTTCAAAAACTTCTAGAAATAATGCCAGGAATTTCTAAAGTAGTAAGGCAGGTGGTGATTTTACTGATAAAAACAATCTGATGCTGTTGGATGATAATTTTTTTATAGTTAAGTGCTTATTTTTTGTCAAAATAAAAGTAAATACACTGGTTATTGAAATTTTATTTTTTACTTAAAAATACCAAAAAAATATTATTTTAAGGTGTTTTTTTAAATAAATGTAGGGTTGCCCCAAATGTTTTGCCTGTGTGTGTATATATATATATATATATATATATATATATATATATATATATATTATGTGTATGTTATATTTATAGGTAAAAGTCCTCCATATCAGGGATAGTGTGTGTGTGTGTGTAAATATAAGAGTGGACACTGGGGTCATAATTGAGTAGCAACAGACTGTTTCATGCTTAAATGCAATTTTCAATTCATCTTTGAAGATTACGTTCAAGCATGAAACACTATGGCCATTTGGGGTTTACCTCAAATTTAGTAGAATTTCAAAATGCATTGATGTCTTTCAAGTTAGCAGTTGCTTAGAAAGTACAGTGGTTGATATACAACTGTAAATATTATCTGCTGTAAAGAATAATTTTGCGAATCCTGGGGAAAATGTAGACCTTTTTAATAAAGTATTTGTGGAGATGCTCTCCTGTGGTTTAATAAAATAAATGAACTAGGAGCCTGTTTCATGACAAATATAATTTCACAACCTCTACTGCTGTCATAGGTTAATGTAGGAATCTTAGTGAAAACCTAAATTTCAAATGTTGATTTTCAATTCAGGTTGGCACTCCCTACTTGGAAGATTGATACAAGACAAGCTTCTTTCTCTAATTTCCCTCATTTGGCTTGGTGTCATCTTAAGCTTAATAATTATCTATGTCTGGTGATCTTTTGGATTCTGGATAATGATGATCATCAGGAATTGTAACAATTTGACAGATTCTCTTTTTTTATCTTTCTTTGGATTATGTACATTATTAAAAAAACAAAATTGTAACCACTAAGGTTAAGTCTTGAGCATATTTAAAAATGTTAAAGAATTCCTTCTGTTTGAATTTCTAGGATAAGGAGTTATCATTATTTACACTATTTACATGTGGACTATTGTTCACATTTTTGTTGTTGTTATCACAATGTTTTGGTTGTTGTGTTCTCTGGCTTACATTAGGTGTATGTCAATCCCAGTAACTTAGAATGAATTCTGTACTGAATCCTTTCACAATTAATCTGAATTTGGTGACAGTAATTCTGAGTGCAATCCTTGGGCCGGGCAGTGTATATTTGGTAGAAACATAGTGAGTAGTAACTGAGCAATACTAAAAATAAGAAATAGATATCCCGAGATATGGGCAGTAGAATGAGAACAATCTACTTCTGTAGATTGAATAAAGGGTTCAGTTTGAAATTCCTTGAAATTACATGGATTAGCATACACTGAAACATTGTGAGAACAACAACAAAGATGATATAAATGGTATTAAATAATTAATATTTAGGTAAATCATGTTTTTTTTTTTTTTTTTTTTTTTTTTTTTTTTTTTTTTTTTGCTCTTGATCTTTTCACTATGGGCAACTTGTTTATGTTCTGTAACCTCTTGAACATTTCCACTGGTTCTTATGAAACAAAAGCATCTCTGATTATAATCTAGTTGAGACAGGTTGTAATATTTAGCCATGTCATACCTGTATTGTTTAGGAATTAAATTTAGACTCTTACTTAGTTTTTATTAAATAATTGTTGAACTACAAGTTTAGCACAATGGTATATTTCTTAAATATTCAATGTTGATTAACCTTTTAGTAACCATTGTTCCACTAATGGAACATATTTTAAGATATATTTTTTTTGATACCAGACGAGCATTAATTTTTATTTTATTGATAATATAAACAGAAAAAACTAAAACACAACATATGCTTGCACATAGTTAAAATATAACTAATGTTCATCTGGTATCAAAAATTGTGTTAAAAATATGTTCTCCCTGTGTGGAACAATGGGCACTATCATGACAAATACATTTTTTTACTATCCCAAGTAAGGTGACAATGCTACTGGAACATAGAGGGCTACAGGGAGTGAAAGTGAATGAGAAGATTGAAAATGGGAAAGCTTGAAGAAAGGACAAAAAAAAAAACGGAACAGGGTTCAAGAAGACAGAGATGGTGATTGATGTTGCATTTTAGTTGTTAGGTAAGCAAGAAATCAGGAGTTCCACGAATGGAAGTGCAAGAAAAAAAACAAAACAAAAAACAAACTGTTAGAGTAGAAGTGGTAGTTACATCTAGCTCGTTCAGCAGTAAAATGGTGAGACCTAGTTGCCAATCTAGTAGCACACTTAAATTCACATAGTTTGTGCACCAGGAAAAAAAAGCTCATGCGAATAATTGAAAATATTTGTAGAAGAGACAGATGGAAACAATGTCACGTCGGTGAGAAAGTGACTGGAGACAAGTTGCCTGGTCAAGATTGATTGTATTGCAGACTTTTCTTAGGATATTGTCAATAATCTTGAACTTTTCTGTTTTAAATAATTTCATGTGAAGATAGATTTTTCATAATATGTAATGTTTTTAGTTTTATTATTCTATAATTCTGAGATAATGTATATTTGCTTGCATAAGTCATAGTTCTACTTTCAAATAATAGATTATTAAAATATAAATTATCGATTTTAAAAATTTTAGAAAATAGAATTTGGAAAGAAAAAAACTTTTAAAGGACATTACTCACTGAAAAATATCAGGAGTTATTTCCCTTGTATATCAGAATTACATCACTTCAATATGAAGAGAAAGCATGAAATTATATGGTCAAATGTTTTTCAAGAATTATTGTTTGAGTTTCCTAAGGCAAAGATTGAACCAGTACTGAAGGTTTTGAAGTTTGTTTTTAGCATTTTTGAATGGTAATATAACTATATTCTTTATATTCAATCAAATAAAGTCAAATACTGTTTGTGAAAGTTAAAACCATAAATATGATAAAAAAATTGTGGAATAAAACTTTTTTCATATTTATCAATATTGTTTCTTTGAGTCTAATTACTCCTTTTTTTCCTAAAGCATTTTCGTTTCATTGAATATTTTCATAAAAGTAAAATCACTTTCTGATTAATTTATACAGGCATGTTTTTCTGCTTTCAGATCAATAAAAAATAACAATTCTAAGTAATGGGTAGAGTTGTTACTGTATATACTCATGTATAGACCGACTTCATGTATAGTGTGATCCCTGAAAAAAAATTACCTTTGTATAGTGCAATCAGTCAATGAAAATGCTTGAATTTTAACCTCTTCAAAAAAAAAAAAAAAGTGTGACTCCACCAATATTTTTTGGGTAGGGGCGGGGGATCATAAGAACTTGAATTATACTTGAGTATATATGGTAATTAGGTAATTATTTTATATCTCTAACAAATCTGTTACTAGATATCCTCTCAATAATTGTAGATTACTACTATTTTAGGACTAACATATTCACTTCTAATCTGCTTGACATTTATTTGTTCCCTCAAATTGTGGTACACTTCAAGAAATTGTCTTATCTGTGAGCAAATAAGGCATGAATGTTATGGATACACATTTAATTTTTAAAATTTTCTTTTAGAATTTACTGGCATAAAATTCTAGACAAGGCAATCACTTCAGATTTTTTTTATCAATAGTTCAACAGTGTTTCTTTAAACCATGTAGCAGACTGGATTAGAATAGGGTCTACTCCTGCCTACTAGTGGCACACTGTGAAACTAAGTCTAATATAGATATTATACTCAAATTTCATGTTGTAGAAACTACATTTGCTGTTACCATGTAATTTATTTTTGCTTTATTTTAATGAAAATTATGACTGAACTGAAAACATTATATACCTGTAAGTCTATCTAATAGAAGTAAATATACCAGTAAACATTTATAAGTTCTAGAGATGGGACAGTATTGGTTTGTATCATGGTATGAGCTCTTATATTCCAGGGAGGAATGGATCATCATTTATATACACCCTGTGGCAGTGCTGCTTATGCTGCTCCAGAACTGGTTTCTGGAAAAGAATATCTTGGGGATATGGTAAGTAATTCTTGAAATATATTTAAACTTTTTTAGTACGGACAATTATTAAATTATATACTATATTTTTGCCTCAATAAGATAGGTGGATTAAAATTTTCTATATCATATTTTTTGTATCATTAAATCTTTCAATTTAAACATTCTTTATTTATCTTTTTTTTTTTTTTCTTTAAGTGCAGTTTTCATTGAATTATTTCTTTATATATACATTTTGTATTGTATATTTGGCTTGGCTAATGAAATTTTATGTTGTGAATAATAAAAAAAAAATATTTTCAGAGTGTTACCAATACAAAAGTTTGGGAAGCTTTACTTTTGGCAGAGGAAAACATAGCTGACATTTTTTTGTATGTTTGAAATTGATAACTTGGGACATCCTGTTAAAAAATGTTAATGGGCTTGTATCCAAGACAAATTTCATGTTATTTTTAAATTTTACATAATTTTAGCTATGCCATGTCAAATTTGATTAATAAATTTTTATTTATTTCATATGAATAAAAAAAAAAAAAAATTTCAAATGATTCATCATAGTGAATGAAAATTACTGGAAAATATCCTTGTCTTGTTATTTAACCTTGCGTTTCCAGTAAAATATCAATGTGTCAAATTTAATTGTTCTCGAGCAAATAATCTAAGGGTTGGCTTTAAAAAAATTGTGAAAATATATGACGATTAGTATTTTTGAAAAATGTTCATCTTTTTATCAAATTTTAGGCTGATGTATGGAGTATGGGTGTACTTCTTTATGCTCTTCTGTGTGGTTATCTGCCATTTGACGATGACAGTATTACAGTTTTGTGCAAAAAAATCAATGTAAGTAACTCGAAAACTTATTTATTTTAAAGAAACATTGAAGTATTTGAATAAGAATTTTTTTTTTATAAGAAAAAATTTTGTTTAATAGACAGTTTTTGCACAAGAGGCTGAGAGTAACATTGAAAAGACTGAGAAACAGATTCAAACATATTGGTCACCAAAATCTAGATGTTTAAGGAACAAACTATTAATGTCTTCATTGTTTACTCAGAGTCAATACAAAATCAATTATCTTAACTACAGGTATAATTTTTACAGTTACACTCTGCATCTGTTTATGCTACAAGTACATTTTCCTCTTCAATATGAAGTAACAATTACAAAAAAAAAAAATAGTCAAAAGCTAACTAGTTTACAACTGAAGCTATAACTTCAAATACTTATTGATAATAATATTTAGTATATTTTTTGATGTATAGAATTTAATAAAGTTCTTAAAAACATGTATTTCTTCACAAAAAGAAACTATTCATAACAAACAAGTGAGAAAACAAAAATATATATATATTACTGTAAAGTGGTAATACTGAAATATCATGCTCTTTGGTAACTTGTTAGAGTCGTAGAGGTTACCACATGTACTGCAGCCACAGTAGAAGTGGTGTGTCTTGGGCAAGATAACCCGATGGAGCCCAACCGTCTTCCTTCTCCTAGGCTGGTTGCCACCCAAGGCTATAGAACCCAATCCATACAGCTATATACCCATAGCTGTAGGGGGAGAGGAGAAGAAATGGATTCATACCTTTCCCAAAGTTATTAGCCCATAAGTGAATGTAATAAATTTGACTGGAATTCAAACTTGGCTCTGCGTTCCTCAATCCAAGTCACAATCTGTGCCTGAAATATATAATAATGATTAAAAAAAGATAAACTTGTTTACCATGGATTGGTGAGGCAGGTGAGATTTGCTGTTATTTTTCTGCCAATCTGCATATTGTTTTTGGTGCCTGACTTATATTCAGAAGGATGTTTTGCCTCCCCATCATATTAGGTCTGTAATTTATAAATTGTAAGCAGAATGGTTCAAAGGTTGGAAGCCAAGATTACCACCACAAACCAGTGAATATTTGCAAGGGAAAGTTGGACAATTTACTTAGGTGTGTTAATGAGATAGCTGAACATTTGATTAAAAATTATTAGTGTGCCTGGTCTTATATAGCCTGGACATGTCCTCAGTACTGAACAAGGTTAATATTGAATATCACTTGAAGGTTTCAGAATCTGTATATATTAAGTCCTACCAACCATCTGTAAGCAGGAGTAGTTGATGGGCTTAAAGATAATTAGCCTTTAATGTTAATTTTTTTGCATATAATATTAGTCTGGGGTTGTCTAATTTTTTAATCACTGTTCTGATGAGAGAAGACAAAAAACTGGTTGAGCTGTTTTTAATTGTTATCATATTTTGAGTATTACCATTTTATGGTAATATTTTTGTTGTTACTCCTCTTTTTTGTTATGAAATGCATTATATCTGCTTTTATTGCACTAATAAAATTTTGTACCACTGTGAAAGTGTTTCTTTGATTATGTTTTGATTTATGTTAAGTCCTACCAACCATCTCTCTGTAAACAGGAGTTCAACATTATTTATAAAAGATATTTTCTTAAATTTAATAATTTAGTTGTAAAATGATTAAAATTAAGATTTACCCACATTTTGTCTATACTTTTTAAAAGTATTAGGTATTTCATTTATGAATTAGTTACAAATCTGTTTAGAAAAAGAATTATCATTGTTGCCCTTGAATATATTCTTAAATCTGATTTTAATTTATGTGGCGAAAATTTGGCCTATAGTGCTGTATTTAGTATTTTCTCACATCACCTTTATATATTTTCTTAAATTGGAAGTTTTAACTTATTCACAGAACTTTGTGTTTTACATTTATATACTGAATTAGTTTAACTTTGCCATATTTTTAGATTACATTTTCAAGCACTGTTTTTCAATTATTTCTCTTAAGCATGAGGGTTTATTTGATTTTATGAGGAGTGCTTATACACTGATTTTGTACTTGCTACTTTAATGAGATATCTTCTCTCAAAATTTTTAATAAATGGAACATGTTATTAAATTCCAAGCTAATACAGATTCACTTGTATTATGATGACTCATCATTGTTGGTGAAAGTTAAGCAGTTTTTCGATTCTCTATCACCATCAGGTTTATAACATGAATACAGACAACACTTGTATCAATCAAATCTGTAAGCAAAACTTGTTTAAATAATCAGTGATATTTGTTAATAAAATTTTTTTTTGGTGGGGGGCTTGTTTTTAATGCTCTCTTAACCCATCCATATTGCTTGTCGTAAATGATATAAAAAAATGACATATTAGAACAGTCATGTGGTTTTCTCAAAGAAAAGGGAAAATGTTAGTTCAGAATACAGGAAATAAAGTAAACTTTCAGTTCTGACTTAAAACTCATCTCTTCCATTTTGTTCTAGGCAAGATGACATTTCTTGAAACAGTTTTTTTTTCTAGAATTTGGCTATGAAGTCAAATTTTAGTAAACTTTGCAGAAATTCTCTTAAGCCCTAGTTTCAAACACCATCTTCTTTGAAGCATTCTCTTTGCATTCTTTTGCAAAGGTTTATGAGCAAAAAACACTTTGCTTTGGGCATAATGTTTAAATTTAAGTATGGCATAAAGAAGTGGACATATTGAAAATTTGAGTCAAAATAAAAAAGCTGGTATAATTTTCTTGAACAGCGAACTTTTGAATCAATCTTTTTTGAAGAGGATCATTGATATGTTTAAAATATGAAATAATAAAACAGAATTTGCAATAAAAACGAGGTAAAAAATGTCTTAAAACTAATTTTTATCATCTCACAAAAGAAAATGCCAACTATCTGTTGCCATTTTTTCCGCCCCCATCTTTTAGATGACAAAGTCTGCTTTTAGTATGTTTTACCTCATTTTTATTGGTAATTTTGTTTTATTACTTCATATTTTATCAGTGATACTTCTTGATAAGGGTTAATCAAAAAACTGACAGCTTAAGAAAATTTACACATCCATTTTGTTTTCCATTGATAGTAATTTTTCAACACTGGAATTTTTTTACAACATGCTGACATGTGTTGAAATCCTCACAATATTTAGTATTTTGTTCAATTTTACAAACCAATTGATGAAATTTGAATGAGCTGATTTGTTTGGAAAAATACTTTGACAAAAACCCTACTTCGGTTTAATAATTTCTTTAATATAGTGTTATAGAACTTCATGGTAAACAATATCTTTTAAGAAAATTTCTTTTTCTCCTTTTTAACAGTGAAGAATAAATTCTTAATATTTCCTACTCTTGAACATGCAACATACAATTGGCCATGCATAAATATTTTGTTCTGGAGACAAGTTCTAAGTTTTTGAAGTGTTTGGCCATGTTAATTACATTGTCAAAACTACAACCAGTTAAGTAAAATAAAAGTGACTTAGAAAATGCCTTTTGTAAGTCAATCTCTCCTTGTTGAAAGGTGTGTAGGGTAGGGTATGATGTTTGCAGCTGTGGTTAAGTTATTTGATGTCTGTCCTCAGTCTAATATTGGGAGAAAGGAGAATGATGATGTGATGAACTGATTTTGGTTGTTAAATAATAAAACTTTTAATTTTTTCAAAAATATTAATAAAAATGTATTGTACTAAGCTATGCACCCTAATAAAACCAACTGTATTTTGTACCCCCTTACCTGTTTGCACTTCTTCCCCAAATTTGGTTTTGATTGGTCAGTGTGTGGTTATTTTAGAGGGTGTGATGGACAGACTAACGGAAATCACCAAATTTTATATATAGATAGATGTTTCTGTTGTTTGATGCTATATTTAAGTTTTGTACCATTAAGAAATTGAAATTTCAGTTAGGAACCTGTACAATTCTATTTTTAAAGTATCAAAATTTATAAAGATTTTAACTAACACTGGAACAAAAATAAATTAAGTTTTCTTTGTACACTATTTTAAGGGATTCTTTGCTGAAGTACACAATTTAATCTTTTTATAAGTATACAGAGCAAGCTGTACCATGTCATCATCTTTGTATTGCATATTTTGAAGAGCATCAGTGTCATGTAACAGCTTCTTTCCTTTCTTTCCATCCTGGGTATGACCGATAAATTACATCTGCATCCTGGGTAAGATGATAAACTATGTCTAACAGCAAGGCCTCTGATCAGGAGGTTTTGAGGAAAGTAGAACCACCTTTAATTGCTGGTGTTCCCAGGTCCACCTGGGGTGGTAGCACCTGTTAGGGTCCCAGCTATGGGCAAATAGTTAACCCTGAAACTGAGGTAAAAGACATTATGAAAATGTAAAAATAGGTTTTAATACCAGAAATACTTTGTAAAAAATTATTACCAGAAATAAATTTTTCAAGTAAAAAAAAAAAAAAAAAAAAACTATTACCAACAATATATTTTTGAAAAAAAAATTATTACTAGCTATACATTTTTGAGGAAAAAAAAATATTACCAGGAAGAAAAAGTTGTCTGCATTAAATAACCCATTGATGTTGATATGCCATAAAACAAAACAAACCAAACCTTCTTTTCTTTTTTTTCTTTTAAATTCTAGTCTGGTAAGTACTCCACACCGCCATGGTTGTCTGCAGAGAGTGTAGAGATCATAGACCAACTGCTGCAAGTCAACCCCATGCGAAGAATCTCTATGAGACATCTTTTGAACCATCCTTGGGTTTGTCAAAATGGCCAACCTGTTAACTGGAAACCCTGCCCCACTGTAAGTATTGTACTACTTTTAAAATTTTCATTAGAGTTAACCAAAATAGTGTTTATATTCCACTTTAAATGAAATTTAAAGAATTCTTTCTTTATAAAAAAAAAAATACTGATGTGTGTACCTTAATTTCCATTTTTTTTTTTTTTATTGTTATTTGAACTTTTTTATTTCAACCCAAGCAAAGCAATAAAACCACTAAGATGCAAGAGTTTACTAAGTGTGAAATAATCTGAGAGAAGAAAAAAAACATTAAGTAGAGGAGAATAAAAGAACAGGAATTAAGGAAACAGGAGATCATGATTAACATTGCATTTAAATTTTTGAAGATCAAAGTTGATTGGAAAAACAAGAAGCCTGAAAAGAATTCCACAAGCAAGAAATGAGAGAGAAGAAACTGTTAGCATAGAACTTATGGTTACATCTAGCAATTTTAACTGTAAAATGATTAGACCTAGCTGACAATCTAGTACTACACTTAAATTCATAAATTTGAAGTACCAACGAGGAAAGCTTATAAGCACAATTACCATCAAAATACTTATACAAAAGGCACAGGGAATCTGTTATGCCAGTGGAAAAGTAACTGAAGCCAATATGCTGGTTAAGGGCCAATAAAATCCTTATTTGGATTTTATCAAGACTCTATGAATACATAGCAGAAGCACTAGACTGGATATGGAAGCAATATTCAATGGATGGATAAATGATAGATTTATAAAGCTTTTTAAGGTTTTTAAATAAATTCAGTTGTAAAAAAAGTAAGTTTTTCACCATTTAATCCATGTAAAATAAAAACATTGGTGAATTGTCCTTGGATTTTGTCTGTCTTGTATTTGTGACTTAAATTCTGTTGGTATATTTATTCATTATGATATTTCTCTTAGTGTATCAATTTAAATGTTATAAAAAATACTTTTTTGGTTTTTGATTAATAGTATGCTTTAGCACATAACTGTAAATTCAAGAATCCCTAAAAATTTAATGCTTTCATTGTACTTAGACATTTGTAGAATTTGTATAATATTGATATTTTTCAGTTTTCTGAAAGACTAAACTCTAGGTTATTGAACATAAATATCCCTGAGTTATTTTGACCTCATGGAATAAGTGTTAATGATAAGATCTTTAAGAAATATATTGTGATAATCCTCAGCAGTCATTTAAAAAGTTCAAAATTGACTTTTTAAAACATTGTAATCTTTTAGACAATTATTTCAGTAATCAATCTAGAATATTCAATTTTTACATTTTTCTAATTAAATTTACTCCTCAATTAAAAAACCAATAAATAAGATAGAAAACTGAACAATATCAAAATAATTGTAACCACATCTCAAACTATTATGGATATTATCAGAATCCAAAATATTCATAACAATAATAATTCTGAATCGGGTATATCTAAAATAAACTGTCACAACTGCTCCTCACAATACATTGGGGAAACTTGCAGAATTTTATAAAAATGTATCTATGAACACAAAAAAGACCTTATGCACAACAATTTATCAAATGCATTAGTCATACATAGAAATAAATTCAACTCCAATCTAAAGAAAGCTAAACTTATTAAAAGAAAATAACTTATTGAAAAATTTTTCTCTAACATTTTTACTTTTGTTTATAAATACTTGGTGCAAAATAAAATCCTTACATTTGCCTTGATAAAATCCATCAGAAGACAAAATGTGTTGGCTAAGATAAATTTTCCTTTTGTCTGTATTCATAGAAATTGGTAGAAAATGGAGATGATTGATTTTATGGTGTCAATTTTTCTGCTTGACAATATTGCAGATTAGAATTGCATCATTCTAGAAATTTATTAAGTTTTAGCCTATTGTGGAATAAGGCCACAATAGCAGAGCATTCAAGATCAAACTCTTAATGAATAGTCTCACAGACTATTTTGCTAATCATTACAATAGGTTAATTTCATAATTAAAAGTACTTATCAACTTTAGCTTAGTATGGTACAAGATCATAGAATACATGAGGATCAAATTCACTGCATGGACAAATTCACTGCATGGACAAATTCACTGCATGGACAAATTCGTCTGTAAGACGCGCTTATAAATTATCTATAGCTGGCGCCTTAATTGCATTATAAATTATTTTACTAAAATTCTAGATGTAAGGGGAATAATTCTTGATTTCTTTTTTACCTCCCTTAGTAACTTTTAGGCCTCTTATAATCGTAGTAAGTGTGTATATTACTTTTCTGTATTATTTTGTTATTTTTTCCTTTTAGTGTAATTTATATTTTTTTTAATCAAAACATTCTAATAAAAGGACACTTGATATTCTAGAGTTTTATTTATTTTCAGGAACTTGATGAGGACTGTGTAATTAAACTTGCAGTGTTTAATGGTACCACAAAAACCAGAATGATTAACATGATAAAAGAGGTAAAATTTTTCTTCTCTTGGAATAAGCTATCTTAGTTTATTCTCTGTTTCCTAAATTTATTTATTGTCAATTGATAACTATAGTATTAAAATATATATTGATTATAATTGCCAATACTCTTAATATTTACTCAAAGATTTTAATAATGAAGCTCATTATAGGCCGTCTTTTTTCCTATTGCCTGAAAAACAGACCTTACTCAACATATATTAATGGGAAACCTGAAGATCAAGTCTTTTCAGTATATTTACTTTATCAAATTCTCAGTACAAAAAAAAAAAGAGTTAAAGATGTAGATTTTTTGGAATGTTTTTCTCAAGATATGTAGATAAAGTATATTTACCACTTTTTCTTTCTCTTCTCTCCCTCTTTTTAAAATAAATTTAATGTTTCAAGGTTCTTGACAAAAACCAGGAAATTGTAGATTTACTAAATGATGAAAAAAAATTAACATATAAAAAAAATTAACTTTTTTTTAGTTTGAACAGTACATCTAACATTTGTGTTTTTGTTCTGTTTCATGATACTAAATTTCTATCCTTTGCTTTTGTTTCAAATAACTATAACAAAAATTACAACAATTAAATAAACTGTACCAAATTTCCCGTTTTTGTTTGTGGGGCACCCTGTATTTGAGGATTAATATTGCTTATTAGATTATAATGAAAGAGGCTTGCACAAACATCATTCTTGCTCAGTATCTTGCAATGATAGGATTAGATACAGTTGGGATAGATGTTAATAAAATTATTGACAACAATTTTGTTGTGACTGTAGACTTAGTAGTGTAGTCATGTTTTTTTCATTATACTTTTTTTTTTTTTTTTTTTTTAAAATATGTTTTTGTTTCAGTTTTGGTATACTTTAAATTTTGATTGGTTTCAATTTAAAGTTAGCTGCCTGTAACTGGTTCACTCTCCCTTGCTGTTAACATTGTTTTCCTAGGTTTTCAATTTCCGTTTAAATTCTAAAAGCACTTCTAATAATAGTTAACCTTTAATTTTAATTGTATTTCTGTATTATTCGAAAAATTGGCATTTTTCCCATAATGTATTAAATATTCTGTGTAAAATGTGAACATGTTATTTCAGTATGTAATACTGTAGAAGATTATACCGTCTGTGGCACAAATACCTGCCACATAATGGTAAGACATTAGTGGTAATAGTGTCTTCATTGAGCTAATGTATTACCATTATATGGGAGATAATTCTGGGAGGTATTTTTGCTGCACCCTGTATAAGCTGATATACTCGTGTCTGTCAACATGTAAAAAAAAAATAAATAAAAAAAAATAAAGATATTATTGTAGCTGAAGATAAAAGGAGGAAAAATAAGTGATAGAAGTACAAACACTTGATTTTTCTGAGATCATTTTTTTGATTTTTCAAATGTATTAGTCATGCATAGAAATAAATTCAACCACAACTTCACCCTAAGGAATTCCACACTTATTAAAAGAGAAAGTAACTTACTTAGACGGATAATTCTTGAGAATGCTGCTGTCGAATCTTAAATTTTGCATCCCAGATTTCTTCAAATATCTTTGTTCCTGAAAGAAATACTCTTTTTCCCAAGCTAACATACATGACTCCTAGACTTTTCAGTTAGCCTGGTCTATATTTATGGACATTTTTAAATTTAAAAATTTTCAAAAACTAAAAAATTTTTCACTTTTGTTTCTAAATACTTGTTGCAAAATAAAATCTTTACAATCTGTGTCTGATAACCTGGCAACTTAATTTGATTCTTTCTTCTTTTTTTATTTTTTTTTTTTTTTTTTACTTGTTTCAAATTTTATGATTTCTCAGGTATGGAAAAGCAAATATTTTTTTTCTTACCATATATAGTGGTCTTCTACCTGAAGTTTTGCTTTCTGCTGTTATATCCCAGAAATAAACAATTCCTATGTTTTCCTTATCAATGATCTCTAACTGGCAATTTGGATCTATCAAAGAAAAGCTGTAAGATGCTTCCTTTAAGTGGAAAAAGTTAGTTCTTGACTCAATAAGAAAATGTTACAGTATAAATGGATATGTATCTATTGCATACCTTTTTATTAGAGAATATTGTTATAATTATTTACTCCTATTATTAGTTAGTCTTTTCTTGTCCCTTATTTATAAATTAAACTTTATCTGCTAGGGTTCTTGGATAAGTGGGGATTGCTGTAAAAATTTCTTTGTTTTTTCTTACAAAAATATATTTTCGTTGCTGGAAAAAGTGCAAGTTATTTTTCTTTTTTCAATTAAGAGTCAGATTCTGACATTTAACTCTTGAGCATGATCCACTTTAATTTGTAATCAGTTGTTCGTTGATTTGTGAAGGCTTTGCTAGACTTGTATGAACATTTACTTTAGTACGTTTTCACTTGGGGCATAGTTTTCTGTTTGTGTACTTTTGGAACTTAAGAGAATAAAACATTAAAAAATAACTCAGAAGTCCTTTAGGATTGACTTCTCTAGCCTAAAAGTTTCAAACTTGTTTTCATGTCAGTAGGTCATTCATACTTCCTCTCTTACATGTGCTATTCATATTATTTAATAGCTCTTGAAATAAACAACTATGATCTGTGACGATGGCCTTCCAGAATACAGAGGTAGAATTGTCTTGTCAGTTGAAGTGTTTGCTGTGGCAGGTGATGGGCAGCAGTATCTGGAGTGAAATGAAAAAAAAAAAAAATTACAGAGTTATCTTTAAGCAATTAAAATCACTCATGTGGAATGACTATAAAAACAGAACAGCAAACAGTTTAATCTGTGAGCACATGTTTATTTTATTGCTGGCTAATCTGTTGTGGGTGATGGACAAATTTTTTTATTTTTATTTTGTGGGGAACAGGATGTTTTTTTTAAATATAGTTTTCAATTTTTTTTAAAGTAAAAATACTTTAAAAATGAAATGAAAACATTTAAAAATTGAGAAAGCTTAAATATCAGAATGCTTCTCTTATTTTACTGTATAGACCTATAATCGAGTGGTAATTTAAATTTTATTTTTTCTTGAAACATAGATTATATAAAATCTATGAAAATACTTTTGGTCATTTAAAATGTAAAGCAACAATATTAATGAAGTTATTTATAAATGTTTTTTCTACAAAATTTTATTAGAGCAATAAAAGCAGATATATTAAAAGGTCATTCATAGCAAAAAAGACAATACCTAGCAAAAAAAGGGTTAACAAAAAATATATATTATTTTAAATTGGTAATACCAAAATATAAAAATTAAAAACAAGTAACTCAGTTTCCTCTGCCCTGTTGGCTGGGACTTCAGAATATGCTGACTGCACCTATTCAGAGGGATAACCCCCCCTCCACCTAATTAGGCCACTTGTAATGTCTGGGGAAGGGATCCTGGTGGTTGAGGGCTTTAGGAGCAGGGTTAGATACTTCTGATTCCTAACACACCACCTTGGCCCTTACTTGGACTAGATGGGCAGTCGGAGAGGCCCAATTTGATCAGTTGGCTGGTCATGCCAAGCCCTAGCACCTATAACTATATCATTTTATGGAGTGCTTTGTAATTAAATAGAATATCCCAAATATACACCAGGATAAAATACCATCTATATCTAATTTATAGGCATTAGCAGGCTATGACTGAAGCTCAATTGGTCTGTAGAGATCTAGACTTAGACATGACTGTGAACATACCAGTTTATACATTTATTTGGGAAGTGCAACAAATGGTTTAATGGGTGATCTGAGTCTCAATTGAATATGAGTATACTGGTTTGTGTACCTTGATCTGTCAAGGTGACTGGGTTTCCCCCTTGACATGTCCCAATGCTGGGCTCCCAAGATGGGTGGGGAGCACAGGCAGTGAATTTTTTCTACATTAAAACAATGAATAATCAAAATAAAAAAACCCAAAAGATATCTTTCTGGCTCTGTTCTGAAAAAGAAGTAAATACTGAATTTTCAAGATTTCTTGTGCTAGCATCCTTAGATGAAATTCCTCTAGCAAAACTTTCCTCTTTCTTGATTGAAAAAGTACTATCCAGTAGGATTAACCCCCCAAAAGTTAAGAAATTAAGAAATGACTATTTGCTGATATAAGTGGAAAATAAAAAACTTACTGAAAGTCTAATCAAGATGAAGACTTTTTATAACAATAGAATAAAACTTTCCCCCATGAAAGACTGAATGCTCCTAAGGGAGTTACTAGAAGCAGAGAGTTATCTCTGGCCACACTTGAGGAAGTCACAATTGCTTTAGGAAGCCAGGTGGTCACTGATTACCATAGAATCACAATAAAAAGGAAAAGGAGAAACTATAACAGACATGTATATCCTTACTTTTGTCACACCTGAAATCCCTAGAAAAATAAGTCTGGTTCAACATTGAGCTTGTGAAACAATATATTCCTGCTCCACTAAGGTTATTCAAGTGCCAAAAATTTGGGCATCATGGGGATAGCTGCAGGAGTTGCCCAACATGTGGAAAATGTGGCCAAAGGGATTCAGACCACATGGAAGAAGAGTGACATGATGAAACAAGATGTGCTAACTGCCAAAAAACCCCTCTAGCTTACTCATGATAATGTGACTTTTGTAAACGGGAAAAGGTGATAGTCGAGGTGAAACATAAAAAACTGTCTCATTCATGGAGGTCCAGCAAATTGTAGAAAGCCACATGAAACGCCCTTCATATGCAAAAGATAATGCAAGGAAGGACCATAATAAATACCAGTCAACTTGACAAATACAGAGCCCTCATTGAGAAGCTTGTACATTTGGGACCAAATGACTGGCTCAAATTTCAGAACTACCTGAAGAACATATACTCCAAGGAGATAGTGCAGACTGAACCAGAGAAGAGGGCCAATGAAAGAATTGAAATAATAAATAAATAACAAATACAAAGTCTACTGTTCAAACTGAAACCACTCCTCCAAAAAATACAAAATCTCTTACAAAGCAAAGGTCAGAGCGATCTCCTATCTAGCCACCAAAAACCCTCAAAGATGGACATAAGAACTTAATCTCCCAAAA